TCAGAAAAGAAAAGCTTTATCCTCTGAAAAAGTATCAATCTGAATCACTACTGTGATACAAACAAACCTATTCACACTGATATAAACTGCGGTGTAAATTATCAAGGTCTCATGAAAACTTTGGATGATTCATCTTCAAGTTTTCTATCACAACAAGGCACATTGTGCATGTAGGAACACAGCCAATGAAGTACTTAACAGCTATTTTACCTTCTTGATGAAGTAGCCCTGCAAGGTGACATCTCGGGAGGTGCGATGTAAATGTAAGGGGACAACATTGGCCATTCTCTGTATTTCATGAATGACAGCATCAGTGTATGGCAGATTCTTCCTGTCCTCTACCTGGGGTTGACGACTTCCTACAACCCTGCTCAGCTCCTCCTGGACCTGATCTGTGAGATGAAAGATGAGAAAAAGCTAATTGGCATTGTTATGCAACGAAAGAGTGCAGGGCTAGTTGAAGACAGTTGTTGAACTTGCAGCCATACAACGCGATGCTGTAACATGAGTTTCTTATCAACTATGTATGACCAGCTATAACAAAACGGCAGGTGGACCTTCTCTCTGGCTCTCTCGCCCACTGTGGACCAGAACTGGCATTTATTGGTGCTGAGCATTGTGGCATTGGTACCAGGTAAAGGCAATAACAACCAATGTGACTGTTGAGCTGTCTTTCTAGCCGTGTATACTCAGTTCCTTGCACTGGGCAGTTTCTTGTTTGTGGCACAGTCTGCTCTGTTAAGGGTTTCTTGGCATGTACCGACATATGTTTTTATATTAATTCAGGGGAAGGGGGTAGGTCTCGGGAGACTCTTCCCCACTAATATGGGAGCAAGAGTACTAGTAGGATCAAAGTCTTCCTCTTCATACTTCTGATACCAATAGGACAAACTAGGGTTTGCAGGTTGAGTAACCTAAACATATCCAAGTTTTAAAGGAATAGATTAATTTGGCAATATTGGTCAGGGTTGTGACAGACATGTGAGAATCTGAGTCTTGAACAAGCAAGACTTTCAATAAATGTTTGATAACATAATTTTCAAGTTTTCTTTGTGTCCCTTACCTTGTATTTTTGGGTACTTGGCCATGAGCAGTAAGCCATATCTGATAGTAGATGACGTAGTGTCAGTGCCGGCAGTAAACAGGTTGACAACAGTCATCAATAGGTTGTCTTCACAGTAGTGAGAACTCATATTCCCAGATGCCTTTCAAACAATGAGAGTGTCAGGAATACAATTACTTTTGAAAGTAGTAGAAACTTTTAAGATGCCTTGTTTTTACATTTACTCTTGTTTTCATAAATTTTTTATGAATCTTAAAATTTTTTATTTATACTTAGTATTTTATTATGCTATAAGTCGCATTAAAGACAAAAATCACATGAAAAAGTCCTAATAAGTCAGACAGGAGGAGGCCAGAGCTAAAAAAGGTTGCTATTTCTGTACCTCAAGGTGTATCTTGCGGGCCAGAAAGGAATCCACCAAACATCTGCACATCTGTGGATTAAGGGTGTCCTGTAAACCCTTGATCAACTCTGTCATGTGTCTCCTATTAGCAAACGCACTCTTCATCAGTTGCTTTCGGGCCCCAATCCAGTTGAACAGCCTTGGAAAGTGGTTATATAACTGTTGAACAAACAAGGATATTAAACTGACTATCAAATTCACATTATCTGCTTAATGATAGACTTACATATAAAACTATATGTACATGATCTTTGATTATATAAAAGATAATTTATATGACATTATAGTTTCATATGCCCCACCTGGAAATTACCTTATTGCTGTCCAGTACCCTGGAGGAGATGGTAGCTTGTGTAAGCTCTTCTGCTACAATTCCTCTCCCTGTGCCTCATTCATTCACACTACTGGTTGGTGTTCATCTTTATCTTTGTTCCCTCCTCCTCCCTACACTTCTCCTTTAACAGACTGGAAGACTCAGCCTCTCCGGGCTGGCAGAGAAGCTCTCTGTGTTGCAGGTGGATCAGGACCTTGTGGCCTGGATTACGGACTACCTCACCAACAGACCACAATATGTCAGGCTGCACAGCTGCTTGTCAGACGTGGTGACGAGCAGCACTGGCACACCCCAAGGAACTGTACTGTCACGATTCCTGTTCACCCTCTACACCTCTGATTTCTGTTCCGACTCCGTTTTACCTAACCTGAATATACTTCGACTGTAGGAAACTGTCCTGCTATGAAGTGAAAGTGCTAACCACTAAGCCACCACCCTTTTGCTAATGATAGACAGTTTGCTCCTGTTCTCATGTACACTTTGGTCACCCAGGAATGACATTAACCTTAGGTCAACTGAGTAAGCCCTGGATTATGTCAATAGATCTCTACAATATGGAGCTCTGCAATACCTGTACTGAAGAAGAGCCCAGGAGTTGAGTATTCTTATTCGATCGATCCACCATAGATCTGAACACGGGGTCATCATATTCAAATCTCTTGCCATAGACAATAGAACAGATGATATTGGAGGCTGCATAGCTTACTGGCAGAGTGGTGTCAAAGGCTTTACCTAAAAGATAAAACATTTAGTGGTTTCATTGGCTTAATTCCGTGGCTCATCAGTTTCAACTCTGTTGCCATAGATAATGGTAGTTAATATAGCATAGTTCACTGGTGGGTTTGTATTATCATATTATAATTATTATATATTGCAAAAACTTGTCTTAACATGCCAACATTTGGTTACCATTTTTTTCATTAAATACATCAATCAGGTGTTGACTCTCTTCTATGATTTTCTCTTCGCATGCCTTTTTGCCCATTCCAAAGCCTTTCAGGTTAGTCAGTGCAAAATGCCTCATTTCCTTCCACGTGTCTCCATTGGCAAATATAATTCCTGCAGATGACAAAATCTAAGTTTTTTTATTTGAAAATGGAAATATATCAATATACAAGACTCTACTGTTTTAGTTCCTCACCATGTGTTAATTTCAGGTCACTGATAATTGGTAAAATGTCTTTCTCTGATAATGCGTCGTTGTTGACCAGAGCCTGTTTGATCATCTTGTATCCTGCTAGCACCACCACTTTTTTGGGCCCAAAATGGAACTTAAATACTGGTCCATACTTCTTGGAGAGCTGCAGTGAAAGTCATATAATTGTTTACATGAATCAAATATGCATACCAGTGTATGTATGTCCCTATGTCTATACCTACAGGAAAAATAAAAAATAAATTATATATATATATATCATGTGCTGTTGGGGTAACTTAGGATCCACTGGCAGCAAATTACCAAACAAAAGCAGTGTCTGGGTTCACTGGGGTCTTTCGTTGAGAGTCGGAACTGGGGAAAATATACAAGGCAAGTAGGATCCCAACAGTTCCCAGTAGAGTGGTTGTACTGGGGGTCTGCAGAAAAAGGTTTTCCATCACAGCCCCACTTTCAAGTATCACACTGATACGAAAGTCACAGACGATGTTCGTGTGTTTGTTTTATTTTTCTGCTGGTATAAGATGCAGTTGACTCCAGGCGAAGGAATGAAGTGAAGGCACAAAGGAGGAAGTAGAAGAGCTCCTATTTGGCTGTGAGACACACCATGTGACCTGCAACAGTAAAATGTCATCCATTGCAACCATACTTTAAATTTTAAAAAAACACACAGCAATTGTTTGTCTCTGCTTCTGGATCCATTCCCATGTATGGTTAATGTACAACCATTGAATAAATAGATTGCAACAACCAGTCCAAATGTTTAGCTCCCTCCTTCTCAGCAAATAATAATAATAATAACTAGCATTTATGTAGTGCCTTTCAAGGAATCCAAGGATGCTTCACATGTAAGAGACAAACAAATAACATAAACAGATATAATACAATATATTAAACAAATAATAGTGGTAGTGTAAACTGGGGATGACAACATTAGAGACAGAGACAAAGGTAACAAAGGTTGCTCTTTGCTCATAGTTGGACAAAGCATAATACATCCTGGAATGAGTGAAGCTTGCCTGCTGA